TACCTCTAACCCCTTGTTTTACCACAGTAAGTTAGTAAATCTAACCCCTTGTTTTACCACAGTAAGTTAGTAAATCTAACCCCTTGTTTTACCACTAAGTTAGTAACTCAATTCTATTACTGCGGTAAAACCCTTTGTGTTAATGTGGTAACCAGTTAGCAAGCAAACATTAATTACTGTCCGATAAAAAAGCAAAAACTTCTCCCTCTCTGCCTGCAGTTCACCGGGCAGTTCTGTTTGACAGTATACACCACGACTTCGATAGCACTGCAATCAGACTCGCTCTCATTCACACTTCTCATGCATGCAAACAGGTGCGCAGCAAACTGGCGACAAGCGCCCACTCAAAACTCAGAGATATGGTAGCCGAGAACACAGTTCAGATACAAGTTCACTTCATTGGCTATGGTGACACAGCGCCCACACAACTCTCTGTTCGCACACACAGGATCACCTGGATATCCCACACACGATACTCAATACACACACACACACACACACACACTCACTGAACTCTATCTACAGCTATGGCGGCTATGGCCGCTACTACCCTATCGCTATGGCTCAGCTCCTTCTCTCTCGCCCACTTCGTCCTCGGGCTCACTGCAGACCACCTCGCACAAGTCGCTTGTGGCAGCGCTTCCGCATGGCTCACGCAAGAATGAATCCATGACTGGGCTGAATCCATGACTGGGCGCTGCCTCTTGATTTATACTTCTGCAGCTCGTTGGTCTGGCCCTTTCCCATGCCCGTGGTGCACACAGTCCCATGCGGTACTTGCTTGACTGGACCAGGACTGACTGGGACTGGAACTGCTGACTCAGCACGGGTAGACTCCACCACTAGCCCACTTGCCTCACCACTGGCCCACTTGCCTCAGCCTAAACATGGGATCTTATAAAGGCCACTACTGGGACCTTCCGGAAGGCCGTAGACTTGGCCTTTCGATACTGTAGCAGCTACAACCTTGACCCTTCTGGACTGTAGCAGCTACGACCTTGACCCTTCAGGAAAACTACAGCTACGACTTCTCGACCTGACTGAGACTCCTACACGACAGGTCTACAGATCGAACCCCTGCTACCTATGGACCCTACGACAGCCTACCAACTGTTACAAATACACAGGTCACGGGTTCAACTCTAGGGGTCGACACAGATACTGTACCCAGGTAAGGTGGGGACTAGGGATCGAGCCCTGGGATCTGCATCGGCTACTGCGAACTGGTGAATACCGTTTCAGCACCCTGCTACGGTTTTCGCCGGTCAGGTTGAGTGTCTGTGGTCTCACGGCCATACTGTGCCTCTAATGCCAGGGGCGTGTCTGGAGTGCATTTTTTGCCTGTGATAGACCTTTCTTTGTTTCGTGGGTGTTTTGCTGGCTTGTGATTGTGATGGGGGGGGGGTGAACCGACCGACAGTCTGTAGAGTTTTCCATCTGGTGTGGGTGAGTGATAGTCTGCTTTGATTGTCGTCACAGGTACCTTGAGGGCAGTGGTTGGCGGTCCCCACCACCTCAGGGTATCAGTTGACGGGCAGTCGTTGATCCTTGACCACAACCGGGGTCAAGGTGGATTATCACTTACAGTGTAATCAGTTACGGGATTCTGCAGACTCTTGAAAGTTCAGCCTCCTGATGAGTAGGGGAAACTCCGACGAAACAGTTTGTCATTGCCCCCCTCGTTTGTTTTCCTCTTCTCCCTCTCTGCCTACGGTTTACCGGGCAGTTCTGTTTTATATAAAGATATATAAAGATATATAAAGATATATAAAGATAGTTCCACCTGTGGAGATATGAAAGGTCACAGGGCTTTTGCTTATCCACCAAAAAAAAAAAAAACATAAATACGTTAACATCCGCTGGTAATTGCAGTATATATTATTATTAATTTATTAATAACTTATAATCAATGAATAGTACTATTCTCATTAATGTTCCTAACTTCAATAAATTTTTTTTTTATTATTTTTAAATAGTAAATACACGATAAACTTCTATACACATTGAAATTATGAAATTGATATCCCATAATACTTCCACCTCTCCAGACAAGGCAAACAAGAGAACTCTTCCCAAAAAAACGAAAAAAAAAAACAAAAAACAGAACTCTCAGAAAAATTAAGTATGACAGAAGTAGTAGTAGTACACTAAGAATAAGTATGACAACAGTTTTTTATTCCTCCTTTTTTTTCCCACAAAGAATTCTTTTTTTAACTTCCAAGTTTCAACCATTTACTGACTTGCGATCTGAGCATTAGCATAGGTCATGGTACCATGGTACCATGGTACCATTGTACCATGGTACCATAGTGCCATCTTGCGGTGACTTCCCCCTGGGTCCCTGCAATCCAGCCGAACTCCCAATGGACGAGTACCACAGGCACGGGCACCTCCTGGGGCCAGGCCGCCACCCTCTACTACACCCTGAAGTTTCACACACACACAAAAAAAAAAAAAAAAAAAAAAAAAAAAAAAA